TGTCGTTCCGTCCCTCGACTTCCCCGCGCTTGAGATGGTGATTCCTGGTGCTGACGAGCCGTCGCCAGAGCTCGCTACCGCCTGGTCGGCTGTCGTTGCCAGGCCTCAGTCGGAGCCCGAAAGGGCGACCACTGCCTTGAAACCTCCTCTACCGCCGGCTCCAAAGCCCTCGTTAGCAGACGCTGAAAAGATTCATCCCCCCGCACCCGTAGCTCCCCAGGGGGGGGGGGGGCGGCTGGCCCGTCTGCTCCTGCTGAGGCTCCGCCTGTCCCGTCTGCTGCTCCTGCTCGAGCGCACCTGGCTCCTGCGGTTCCACCGGTGGTGTCCGCGCCTGCTGGGGAAGCAGCTGCTCGCTCCGGTCCCGTTGTTCGCGCACTCGTTGTGCCGTCTGCTTCGGTCCCCGGCGTGCCTGTGCCTGTGTCTGCTTCTTCCCCAAAGGCGGCGTCCGCCACCACTGACGACCCTGCTCCGATGGATGCTCCTCCTGGCGCCGACCCGGCAGCTCCCGCTCAGCCGCCGGCGGCCCCTGGGGTGCAGTCGTCTCGCCCCCCGTCGCCGGACCGCCGCCAGTCCCGCCCCCATTCTCCTGCGCCCCAACAGGAGCGCGAGACGTCGCGGCGCCGGCGCAATTCTCCCCAGCGCTACCAGCAGCAGGCATAGTGGCCTGCCCCCCCTGGTGGCAATGGGGGCTGGAGGGGCCCCTACGGTCGAGGTGGTGGCGGGAGGTATCGTCCGCCTGTGACGATGGCGGATCTCCAGCGGGAGGTGTCGCGGGCTGTGCGCAAGGAGCGGGCGGCGCAGAGTCAAAGCAGTTCCCTGCGGGCCGCGCCAGCACTTGAGGCTCCCCGTCCCATTGAGCCTCCTGTAGCCCATCCGCCTGTAGCTGCCGTCCTTCCTTCTGTCCTCGCCCCGTCTGCTCCGTCTCCTCCCGCCTCGGCGCCCGTTCCTGGTTCCCGTCTGCGGCTACCGCCGCTTCCGCCTGTTGCAGGGGTGGAGTTCGTGGCCGCGGGTGGTGTCGCGGGGTCGGCTCAATATGCAGCTGATGAGCCGCTCCAGTTCCTGGTGGAGGCGCTTCAGCCTCCGCACACTCGTGTTCCTCAGTCGACTCTCGGTCAGCTCCACCGTCTTGCCGAGAGTCTCCACGCTTTGCTGCTAATACAGGTCCTTGCCCATTCTTCGCTCCCTGTGGTCTCTCCAGAGACGTTCCGCGACCGTCCGCGCGAGACTTGCTTGGATGCAGCGGACCAGCTCGCCGTGCTGCTGGCGCTTGTGCTGGCTGCGCCCGCGGAGGGAGGCGCTGCTGCTGTGGGACAGCTGGACGAGGCAGTCCGGAGCTTGAAGCGGCATTTGCGCGCTGGGTCTGGAGCCGCGGCGATCGGCGCAAGCACGCTTGTAGTCCGGGAGCTGTGGTGCTCCCTGACGGGCGTTCTTCACGCCCTTGGAGCTCACCGCATGTAGATGCGGGCTCCTGCTGCCCAATGGGTGCCATTTGTTCCTAGTTCCGAGTAGGACCAGCCATTGCGTGTATGCGTGTCGTTGCTTATTGTTACTTGATTGTGTTTGCGCTTGCCACACCTCTCGCGAGGCCGAAGGCCGCGCCGTCGAGCGTCGGCCGCCGTAGGCGGCCGGCGCGAGCGAAAATTCCAGCCGCCAAACTAATGAAGAAGAGAACGGCCTTAGGAAGGCCTTAAATATGGCTGAAAGGCAAGGACAGAGGCTAGGGGCAGAGGACAGAGGCTATTCCTCTCTCTCTCGCTCTCTCTCACGAGCGAAAATTCCAGCCGCCAAACTAATGAAGAAGAGAACGGCCTTAGGAAGGCCTTAAATATGGCTGAAAGGCAAGGACAGAGGCTAGGGGCAGAGGACAGAGGCTATTCCTCTCTCTCTCTCTCTCTCTCTCTCTCTCTCTCTTTCTCTCTCTCTCTCTCTCTCTCTCTCTCTCTCTCTCTCTCTCTCTCAAGCAGTCCGTCGTTGATAGGTTCATAGGGGTACAGGCATAGCAAGAACAGGTGCAGGACCTCCCTAGTACTAAGAGCAGCCAATAATGCTTGGCAGGGCTGAGGTAGGCACACTGGGTAGCCAGGCGAGCAAGTCCTCTGTGCCAGTAGGTCAGGACCTTGAGGGCAGGGGAGGGGAGGCAAAACACACAGAACAGGCACACAAAGCAAGGCCAACCCGAGCAAGGCAAGCAGGGCAAGGCAAGGCAAACAAACAAGGCAGGAGCCGGACATGTATTTGGCTAATACTCAGGTAGACACCCGTGCTATTTCTATCCTGCTCACCGACCCATCACCCCGTCCATCTCATCCTCCAGGACTTGCCAGAGATCCCCTAGGCTAGGTTCCCAGGGGTCCCTGGCCGCCTGTGAGAAGGCTGCCACGTCCCCTATGTTCGACTTGTTCAGGAATGACGAGGCCTGTGAGCGTTGGAGCATGACGCTGAAGCGCTGCCTGTAGTGAGCGGTGAGCCGAGCAGTGGTGGTGGTGAGCCTCCCCTGGCGGAACCTTCTCTTCGCCGTCGAGGTTGCTAACAAGCGGATGAACTGCTGTGTATCCGTAGCTAGGGCACCGTATGTTTCCACTGCCAAGCCAAAGAAACCCACGTAGTCAGGCCGCCCCTCATAGATCCTGTGTTTCCTCTCTGAAGCTTCTCTTGCCGCCCATCCAGGTGGCTTCCGGGCGCGCTTGTCACAGCACTGCAGCACTGGGTCGGTCACTGTCACGTCTGTGACCCAAGTCTCATTGGACTCTTTGTCCCGAATAGCAAGGTCTCCTCTCTTCCTCAGCACCGGTGGGGAAAAGGCGGTGGTTTCGTGGAAAACCGTGAAGTCGGCCTCCTTCGCCATCCGGAGCAGAGTAAACACTAGGGCATCGTGTGTGCGAACGACATCTCCCCCGTACCCACACCGCAAGAGGTGGTTTGCCAAGCTCGTGTCCGTGATTTCAGTGTTGGCGCGCTTGCATGGACAAGTGACTGTGACTGGAAGAGCCATGCCGAGGCGAAAGCCAAGTGCCAACGAGAACTGACCAGGGGCGAAAGTAAGGTGAGATCTCGTTGGGACGGCATGGAGCCAGTCCCCGCGCCTACCCCTTGCAAACTGATGAGCCGTACGGCGTGCCCACGGTCCTTTCCTGGGCGGTCTTCTATTGTGTCGGCCAGCAGCTCCGCCGCCCGCGTCTCATTGATGTGGCGAGACAGGGTCAGTTGGAGGTTCCCCTGTCCCGCCGGCTGTTCCCGGTAAGTGTGTAGTGCCGCCTGTGCAGCTATGGGTAGCCCAGCTTCCAGAGTTGTCAGGGGGTTGATGCTGGGTGGGGCAGGGGTCCAATCGTGGCACAGCAGCTTGACTGCCCTGCTCAGGAGATAAGCCTCGGGCAGGTTCATCTGGCGCAGCTGCTGCTGCGCCGCCGTGACTGAGGCGATGTAGGCCGCAGGTGCCTCGGAGACTGGGTCAATGATCCCCAAGCCTCCCAACCTGACCGGCAGACTCCCCTGGCGCCACAACAGACTCCTCTCCAGCTCGTCTGAAGGTACACGGAGCTTCGCTGCTGCTAGTGCCGTTGCCATCAGGGTCTCACTCCAGCCCCTCCACCCCTCTCTCCCCAGGACTTCCGCCGGTGTCGTCCGCAGAAAGTAGGAGATTCGGCGGGATATGCTCCTCGTGAGGATGAGCATTGCGCTCTGTGGGTGGGGCTGCGCCACCAGAGGTAACGGGGCCGACGCCTCATCAAGACGTGTTTGTGCTTGAATGGTGCAGAAGGCAGGCAAGCCGACTGGGCTGCCTAGAACCCGGATCCCATCTGAGAGCTGCTGCAGGCCGATGGGAGGTGGCGTGCCGCCTTCATCCGCGAGCGATTGTCCCCATGCCGACGATTTTGCGATGTTGCAACGGAGGCCGAGCGTTGCCAGCTCCCTGGTAATGGCCCCAAAAGCCTCATAGCAGGCCTCCTTCGGTCCCACTATCGTTATGTCGTCGGCGTAGGCCACTATCGCGACTTCTGGTAAGAAGGTCGCCGTGCTTAGCAGGCACGGTTGGATCGCTGCCGCGAAGAGTAGTGGACCGAGCGGGTCCCCTTGACGCACCCCGCGTGACGAGAGTATGTGGTTCACTCCTAAACGTTCGTCGACCAAGAGTGACGACGGTGCCCCGTAGAGAGTTCGGGCCAGGGGCATGAGCTGCAACAAACTGGACTGGGAGAGAGCGTTGAAGAAAGCCGCCCGTTCGACACTGTTGAAGGCGTTTTCTATATCCAGTTGTAGCGCTACCCGTTTGTCGTCGTCCCTTAGTAGCGATCTGACGGAGTGGACGATACACTCTGCGCCTCCTTGTATCGCTACCCCAAGCTGGACTGGTAGGAAGAACTCCTTAATGTTCTCGGTTAAGCCACGCAATGCCGCCTTAGCTACGACTCGAAGAATAGCCTCCCCTATCGCAATATGCCGAACTCCTCCTCCTGGCTTTTCTAGGGCGATCAACCGTGAAGGCAGCAGCAAATCGCGCGTCGCTTGTGTTTGGAACGTGCTCAGCAGGTACGTCACTATCTTAGCGAGTAGAATAAGCACCTCCCCGTTTGCCAGTGCTGGATCCTTGAGGTGTTCGAAGCAGGTGCCAGATGGGCCTGCTCCAACCCCGTTCGGGCATTTCTTCAGGATTTCGCAAAAGTTCGTCCGCTGACACGCTGAGGGTCGAGCGGTTGAACCCTGTAACCAGACCCGGTAGCGAAATTTCGGCTGCGGGGTGTTTCGCTTGGAGGGCGGTCAAAGTTGCTGCCGTTGCTTCTGCCAACGGTGTAGTTCGTAACGCTGCTACCGCCTTGGAAATGTTTCCTTTCCGTATCAGCCCTTCCGCCCTTGCACATAAACCCACATCATCCGGTTGGTGTCGTATCGGGCTCTCATTGTCGGGGATAACACATGCATCGGTGTATAGGGCCTGCCAGCTGCCGAGTTGGAACTGGTGCAGGCGCAGCTCTATTGCTGTCCACCGACTGCCTTCAACAGGTTCAGGGGCCGGGCGCAGCGTCAGCCTCGGCAGATACTGCAGGATCATCCATGCACCTGGGCAGTCAGGATTCTTCGAGAGTCGAATGAGTGGCGCCAGGAGACAGAGCGTGTAGCTTTCCAGGATCTTGGGCGGCATTATGCAGACCACGAAGGGTTGATCCCCTTTTTGGAGTGGGTATTTTTCCCACGTGGCTGCTAGCTCCCAGATGGCAGAATCGTCCGCCAGGTCAGACGGTGATCTGACCCCAGAGTCACTCTGTCCCTCGTTGGGTGCGTCCCCCTTTTCTCCCGCCACCTGAGGGTTTCCCCTTACTCCTGGCGTTTCTTCGTTCCCGAATCTCGTACCCTGAGGGTTATCGCCCTGGGGGTTTAGCCCATTATTCTGGGTTCTCCTTCGCTCCCCAGCTCTTCTCGTCATGTGTACTCCCTCCTCGTCCTCCAACGAGATTTCCTCTGATGGCTCCGCTGATTCAGCTACATAATCGCCCCCCTCGTCAGTGTTTGCATCTTCTTCTTCGTCGTGATTTGTTGCAGGCTCCGCTTGCTCCGGTCGCTCGTGGCGTTCCCGCCACGTTCCCGTTCTCACGAGCGCAACCCTTCCGCCTAAAATCGGGCCTCTTCCGCCCCGTCCCCCTCTGGCCCCCCGCACTCCTACCCTTGCTCCGCGAGCCGTTTCTCCCCCCCTAGGGCCGGTGTTCTGCTCGCCTCGGCCTGTGTGTTGCGGTCTTCCCGCCGGGATCCACGGCGTCAGCATCGGCGTTGCCTGGCTAACTCTTGGCTGGCCCCAGGTAGTGCCTTGCGCCCTCGTAACACTGCGGGTTTCACGCCGTGGGGTCCGCGACCCTGTCTACCGCTCCCCCCCAGGTCGTGTCCCTGCGTGCTTGCGCCCTCGGCAGCAGCAGAAGTTTCGGCGTTCGCAGCGGCGCCCGGCGCACCCTCCTCGGTCCGGGCTCCATCTTGTTCCCTTGTCGCCGCTGTCACCGCCGCAGCCAGCGCAGACGCCGTTACAGGCTCCGGTGACGCCGCCAGCTCCACCGCCTCGGTCCGTTCCTGGGCCACTGGTGGTCCCGGCTCCTCCGGTTGCCACGTCTGGGGGATGGCAGAGGGTGAGGCTGAGCCGCCGCCAGAGGCAGCGTCAGGCCCGCGAGGCTCAGCAGCAGCCACCATCTCAGTCGCCTCCGCAGCAACCTCCTCCAGCCCCACAGCAGCCGCAGCCTCAACCGCCACAGCCGCCTCTGACTCAGTCCCCGTTGCGCCATTTCCCCCTGCCGCCGCGGCCGCAGCCGTCTCACCCTCCACCGGCTCCTGTTCCCCCGCCGCCTCCCCAGGTGCCGTTATTCCCACCCGTCCCACCAGCTCCTCTCGTTGCTGCTCGTGTGGCTGCGACTCCTTTCCACGTCGAGCAGCGCGTAATGCACGTGGGGACGTGTTTGACGCTGCTGTCCTACGTGCTGGACCAACTCCACGTGTGTCTGGCGCGGCAGGGTGTGGAGGTTGGGGGGATGATGCCATCGGAGCAGTCTGCGGCGGTGTCCGCAGCAAGGGAGATGCTACATTATCTCCCCCTGATCGGGCTTGTTCAGGGCGCCCCTGGTGCTGCGCTCGGGCCCGGCCCTGGGGCAATGTTGCGGCTTGCTGAGTCTGCTCAGGGGGCCCCTCTTGGTCTTGTATCAGCAGCCGCATCCGTCCTACGCTGGATGGACGGGAGGCTGTGCTGGATACTCTCCGAGTAGCCGGTTTGTCCCCTTTGCCATCCCCCTTGGTAGCTGGATTAGCCTTGGGCTTCCCCATGGCGGTGTAGGCACGCCCGGGGGAGTTGCATTTGCTGCAAGGCTCTACCACTGCATGTTGTATAAAATGCTCTTATGAAACTTGTCACTGGAGACCCTTGCCACACCTCACGCGCGGCTGGAGGCCGCGCCGGCGAGCGGCGGCCGCCGTAGGCGGCCGGCGCGAGGCGCCGGTTTTGGAGAGTAACCTGAACTCACCAGTGAAGAATGAGCTCAGAAGGGAGCATCTAGGGACTATATTCTAGGTACTGGGCTTAAAAACGGCTAAGGACAAGATCCTACACTAGAGAGGGTTAGAAACGGCTAAGGACTAGGCCTAGCCATCTCTCTCTCTCTCTCTCTCTCTCTCTCTCTCTCTCTCTCTCTCTCTCTCTCTCTCTCTCTCTCTCTCTCTCTCTCTCTCTCAAACGGTCCTCCATTGATATAACATGCCGTACAACGAGTATAGTTATCACACAACAGAAACAAACATGTGAGTGACTACCCATGCTCCCTAGCAGCCCCTATGCGGGGGCTCAAGTGTTGCAAAACAGTCCCCTGGGTTCAGCTCCCCCTCCGGTCCTCCTAAGGGGGGGTTTTCCGCGTGTGCTGCAAGGTTCAGCTTCATGAGGAAGCTAACCGCCTGTGCTCTTTGCAGGGCCACCGACCACCGCTGTCGGAATTGATGAAGCATCTTAGCGGCTTGGTAGGTAGAGGGGTCCGCATTAAAGAGCTTCCTCGCTGCCGTGTCAGCTAGGAGCTTGAGGAAGGTCGGTACTTCCTCGCAGGGGCAGCCGTAGGTTTCTACTGCTAAGGGGAAGAACCCTGCGAAGTCTGCCCTGCCATGGTAAAGCCCTATTTTCTTGTCTGCTTGCTCCCGCGCTGCCCAGCCCCTCCCCTTCCTTGCCCTCTCATCTCGTTTGCTCATGGGGTCTGTGATCGTTACGTCTGCTAGCCATACCGTCCCCGAGGTCCGATCCCGGAAGGCCAAATCGGCCTTCTTGTTATCCACCGGGCTGAAGGCAGCGCATTCCTTGTGTACCGCAAACCCGGCATCCTGTGCCATGCGGATGCACTCGTCGCGGAGCTCGTTGTGCGTGTTGGTCCGACCGTGTCCCGTACCACAGCGCAGTAGGTGGTTTGGCAGCCTCTTGTCGAGGATAGCAACCCGCTTGACACAGTCACAGCACTTGGGTACGGACATGGGCAGGCCGAGCCAGAACTGGAGGGCGAAGGTGAAGTGTTCGGGGCAGAGCCGCAGGGCGGGCTTGTAGGGGATGGCGAGTAGCCAGTCCCCTGCCCCGTAGCCCGTGAGTGAGATGAGGCGCTGCGTGTGGCCCGCTCGGGGGTTCAGCTCCAGTTGTCTAGAGGCAGTGATCTGCGCGGCACTCCTACTGCCTTGGACTATGAGTGCTAGTCGGTGTTGGAGCTGGCCTGCGGGTTTGGCAAGCTCGGAGGCAATCAGGTCCCTTGCTTCCTGTGTTAGACTCTCTCTGCAGTCGTTGATCCACCTCTGCAGTTCATTCGGGCTCGTGTTCGCCGCTTCAAGGCTGTGTAGTGCTGCCGTGAGGTGAGACCCCGCCGGGCCTGGGAGGGGGCTGAGGAGGGAGTGCGCTTGTACTAGGCTGGCCAGGAAGCTGTACCGACCCTCTACCACTGGGTCTGCGAGGCCTAGCCCTCCTAGGCTTGGCGGTAGTGATGCCTGGTCCCATATCCGCGCGGCCTCCGACTCTCCCCGTAGGTGGCGCACCCCAGACGCGTCAAGTAGGGCGTGTAGCAGGGCCCGGCCCCACCTGGTCCATTCTGCTTCGGGTAACAGGTAGAGCGGGGTTGTGCGTGCGAGGTAGGATATGCGCCTGGAGATGCACCGCGTCAGTAGCAGTGAGGTTACTTGGGGGTCCATTTTTGAGAGGTGCGGCAGTGGGGTAGACATGGATTCGAGTTGCGAGCGTAGGAAAGCCGCTGCACCTTCCTGAGATCCGATGAAACTCCCCAACACCTGCAGGCCCTCCTCACAAAATGGGACCCCCTGCGGCAGCACCTGAGGATCGACCTCTGCTGCACTCCACGTTGCGCATTTCTCTAGGTTGTGGCGCAACCCCACGTCGCGCAGGCCCTCTGTGAAGTGGCAGAAGGCCTTTGAACAGTCCAGCGGCTCGCCCAAGAATGTAACGTCGTCAGCAAAGGCCAGGCACATCACGGAGGGGAAGGCCGCTGCGGTTTTGGTAAGGGCGGGGTGAATCCCGGCTGCGAAGTGTAGCGGGCCAAGCGGATCCCCTTGACGCACACCGGTCTCGCTGATGAGCGGCTCGCATTCAAACCCAGCATCTAGGAAAAGCTGGGCCGGTTTGCCGTACGATATCCTGGTGAGCGGGATAATGCCCTGCAGCGCCGAGCCTCGTAGTGCGTCTACTATTGCTGCGCGGCTAATGGAGTTGAAGGCGTTCGCTAAATCAGTCTGTAGAATCAGCGCCCCTGGATTCGCGTGTGTGAAGGTTCTTGCGGCGTGAATGATTGCCTCACTGCCGCCCTGGACCGATACGCAGTACTGGAGTGGGAGGAAGTGGGCCCGGCATGCTTCCGATAACGACGCGAGTGCAGATTTCGCGGCGATGCGTAAGATGCACTCACCTACTGCGATGGGGCGAGTGCCTCCCCCAGGCTTAGCTAAGGCGATGAGGCGCGAGGCAGTAAGGAGCGAGCAGATCTCGTCTGGGAGATTGCCCTTTAGGATTGTGTTGACGAGCGCGTGTAGGTGTGTGGTAACCCCACTGTTTGCGATGGCAGCGTCCCTCATGTGCTCAAAGGTCATTCCCGAAGGTCCGCCTCCCACTCCATTTTCACACCGGCACAATATTTTTACGAATGCGCCCGTGTCGATGGAGGCGGGCTGCTCTGTACCGGGGATGGTGCAATCGATGAGACCAGCTGGCGCTCGGGGGTGCTTGGCTTTGAGGGCTGCTAGCGTGTCAGCTGATGGGCCAGCGACCGGAGTTGACTCCAGGGCAAGGATTGCTCTTCGTAGGCTTCCCTTGCGTGTGAGGCCCTCTGCTCTAGCGCGCCTGCCCTGGTCGTCGGGTGTGTGACGTGGCGGTTGTGGCCCATTGATCGCGGCTGCTGCGGAATCGTAGAGCTGCGTCAATTCGCCCTTGAGAAATTGGCGCAGTCGCTGCTTCACAGCCGGCCAATCGGGCTTCTCCGTTGAGGGCAGGCGTAGTGTTAGGCGCGGGAGAAAGAGTAACAGACGCCATCCTGCGACTGAGTCAGGGTAACGCGCGAGTCGGAGCAGTGGTGTCAGAAGGGCCGATGCGAAAAGGGGGCGAATGTCAGCGGGTAGTTTTCGCGACAACGGGGGCTGACGACTGTCGCGTAGGGGGGACAGATCCCAATTTCCAATTTCGTCGAACCGCGCGTCGTCCCTCGCCAATTGCTCAGGCGAGAATTGGCGGGTTTGTGGTGGCGGCGCGGTGGTGTCCGGTGCCAGTGGGTCCTGCGCCCTTCCACCCGAGGGTGGCCAGTTTGGGGCCCGGCTTGGTGTTGGGTTTGCTCGGCGGTGTCCTTCCGCTTCCTCGTCAACCCCTCCTGATTCCTCCGTTGTTGATTCAGCTGCTGCTGGTGCTATATAAGTAGGGTCACTCGCCTCCTCGTTATTAGCCCATCTTAAAGCCCGCCCTGCCGCTCTCTGGAAACCGTTCTCGGGTCCTCCTCCCCGTCCAGCTGTGCCTCTGCGACCTCCGCCTCGTCCAGCCCGAGATGCCTGTGGCACTAGGCGACGAGATGCATTATCCGCCACCGCCCTTTGTCGTGGCGTCTGCTGTGGCTGCTCCTCCGGTTGTATCGGCATTTGCAGCGGGCGGCTGCGGAGATGTCGCCGCATCACGTACCATTACCTGCTCCTCCTGCTGCCCAGGCTCCCGCGACTGTTGAGGCGCCTCCTCCCGAGGGGAAGTCTACTCCTGCTGTCCTGCCGCCAGAGGTCCCGAACCTCGCGGCACCACTTGGCGTGTCCGCTCCCGATGCTGCTCCTGTTCCCCTCGTTCCCTCTGCTGCGCCGGTCGCGCCTGCTCCCCCCGAGAGTTTTGCTGCTCACCCTGCGTCTGTCCCTAGCGCGCCCGCTGTTCCGGCCGCTTCTGTTCTCGGCGTGCCTGCGCCGGAATCTGCTTTGTCACCGAAGGCGGCGTCCGCCACCACTGGCGGCCCTGCCCCGATGGTCGCACCTCCGGCCGTGGACTCGACTGCTCCTGTTGCGCTGCAGGCGGGCTCGGTGGCGCAGACGTCCCGTCCTCCGTCGCCAGACCGCCGTCAGTCCCGGCCCCATTCTCCCGTGCCTCAACAAGAGCGCGAGTCTTCGCGGCGTCGCCGAAACTCTCCTCGGCGCTACCAGCAGCAGGCCCAGTGGTCTGGCCACCCTGGTGGCAATGGGGGCTGGAGGGGTCCCCGCGGGCGTGGTGGTGGTGGGGCATACCGCCCGCCCGTGACCCTGGCTGATCTTCAGCGAGAAGTGTCAAGGGCGGTGCACGAGGAACGGGCGGCGCAAAGCCTCAGTATTTCGCCGCGGTCCGCGCCGGCGCATGTGGCTCCCCGTCAGGCACTCCCTCCCGAGGGCCTTGCCCCTGCTGCTGCGCCTCCTCCTCCTCCTCATGCTCCATCACCCCCGGCTCCTGCTGCCTCGGCCCCTGCTCCTGGCTCTCGTCTCCGCCTTCCCCCTGTTCCGCCCGTGGCTGGTGTGGAGTTCGTGGCTGTTGGTGGTGGGGCAGCTGGGGCGCAGCACACCCCTTATCCCGCTGCTGACGACCCGCTTTCGTTTTTGGCGGTGGCCCTTCAGCCCCCGCAGACCCGTGTACTTGAATTGACCCTCGGGCAATTGCACCGTCTGGCGGAGAGCCTGCACGCCCTGCTGCTGATTCAGGTGCTGGCTCATGCGTCTCTCCCTCCGATCCCTGCTGACTCATTTCGTGACAGGCCGCGCGAGACCTGTCTGGACGCGGCGGACCAGCTCGCGCAGCTGCTGGCGCCCGCGTTGGCAGCGCCCGCAGAGGGTGGCGTTGCGGCTGTGGGACAGCTGGACGAGGCTGTCTGGGGCTTAAGGCGGCACCTGCGCGCGGGGTCTGGAGCCGCGGCGATCGGCGCAATTACGCTGGTGGTCCGGGAGCTGTGGCGGACTTTAACTGGCATTCTCCATGCCCTTGGAGCTCACCGGATGTAGATCCGGGCTCCGCTTGCGCTCGTGTCGCCATTGTTGCCTAGGATGTTGTTGGTGCCGCCATTGTTAGTATGCCGTTGCTTATACCCGATTGTGTGCGTGTTCCTTGTCGTTCCCTCATGCGCGGCCGGAGGCCGCGCTGGCGAGCGTCGGCCGCCGAAGGCGGCCGGCGCGAGCCGCTCGGTTAGGAGAGAGACCCAACCAAAAACTGAATAATGAAGAGGCCACAAGGCCTGCTGAGGCCTTTATACTAGGACTAGGGAGGCTAGGGAGGCTAGGGGAGGCTTGATAGGCTAAGTCACTAGGTGATTCTCTCTCTCTCTCTCTCTCTCTCTCTCTCTCTCTCTCTCTCTCTCTCTCTAATGGTCCTTGTATTGATATAGCAGGAAAGTACAAGCATGCACGGTATAAGGGCCTAGGTAACCAACAAACAAAGCCAACCAGTCACACAACTACCACACCGTCACACACTCTAGAGCTCCAGCAAAGGCTCGACCACCGCAAAGCAGTCCCCAAGGTGCATCTCCTGCCCTATGCCTCCAACAGGTGGGTTCTCAGCTGCTGCAGCCTCCCCCAATTTGATCAAGAGTCCCACTGACTGAGCCCTCTGGAGGGCCACAGACCACCTCTGTCTGAATTGATGCAGAAACTTGGCGGCATAGAAGGATTTTGAGTCGGCGTTGAAGTGGCGCCGAGCCGCTGTGTCTGCCAGGAGCTTGAGGAAGACCGGGACCTCGGCACATGGGCAGCCGTAGGTGTCTGCCGCCAGTGGGAAGAAGCCTATCGTCTCTGGGCGGTTGGCGTAATGTTTTATTTTCTTGTCCGCTTGCTCACGCGCCGCCCACCCCCTGCCCTTCTGTGCCTCTGGGTCCCTGGTGCTGATGGGGTCAGTGATGGTTACATCGCAGATGTAAACCGCTCCACTGCTTCTGTCGGTCATAGTGAAGTCGGCGGTTTGCTCCTCGATGGGGCAGTAGGCGGCCGACTCTCTGTGCACTATAAACCCTGCGTCTTGCGCCATGCTGACGCAGGCATCCCTTAGCTCGTTGTGCGTGTTCGTGCGGTGCTTGCCTGTGCCGCAGCGGAGCAGGTGGTTCGGAAGGCGGGGGTCTGTGATAGCCGTGTGGTCAGCGCAGTCACAGTTTTTGGGGGTCGAAAACGGTAGGCCGAGTCGGAAACGAACCGCATTTGCGAAGTGTACCGGCCCTATCCGCCTAGCAGGGGCAATGGGGATCGCGGTGAGCCAGTCGCCTGTGCCATAGCCCGTCATTGAAAACATCCTCTGTGTGTGCCCCGCAAGCGGATTCGGCTTCATGCGCCTCGTCGCCTGCACCTGCTTTGCGTATCTGCTTCCGTGGACCTTGAGTCCAAGCACGTGTTGGAGCCGGATGTCGGAACGTTTGAGCCGCTCCGTCTCGAGTATCTCCCGTGCATCCTGCGGCAGTGCCTCCTCACACTCCTTCAGCCATTCGTGTAGCGGTGTGCTGTCAGCCCGTGGCAGTAGCATATGATTCCGTGCCAGGGTGAGGGCGGTATCTTCTTCCAGCGGTAAACACCCGAGGTACAATGCCGCCTGCGTAAAACTGGCTGCGAAACCATAGATCCCTTCGACTAGGGGGTCGGTGATGCCCAGCCCTCCCAAGGATGGCGGCAGTGATGCTTGCTCCCAGACCCGTGACTGTTCGGTTCGACACGTGGGAACACGGATATCGCAAGCTGTGAGGAGCGTGGCGAGCAGATCCCTACCCCACTGGCTCCATGTGTCACGAGGGAGAAGGTGCAGTGGGGTCGTCCTGGTGAGATATGCAACTCGTCGCGATATGCATCGCGTAAGTAGCAGCGCTGCGACCTGGGGGTCCGTTCGCTCGAGCAGGGGTAAGGGTTTCGCCATCTCGGCGAGCTGACCCGCCAGGAACCGAGCTGCGCCGCTGTCTGGCCCCACGAAGCTACCCAGTAGTTTCATGCCACCTTTAGAGAACGGCACTCCTGGCGGAAGGCAGGATGTGTCAATTGCGCAGGAGCTCCAGGCACTACACTTCTGTGGGTTGTGTTCGAGGCCCAGGCGCGCCAATTTTGTCGTGAAGCATGTGAATGCAGCTACAGTGCGGTCTGTGTCACCCAGGAAGGTGACATCGTCAGCATATGCCAGGCACAGCACGTCCGGGTGTGCTTCGGCAGTTTCTCGGAGTGTAGCGTGTATCCCTGCTGCAAATAGAAGTGGCCCCAGTGGGTCTCCCTGGCGTACGCCGCGTTCGCTTGTCAGTGGTGCGCTGTTGAAATTGGAGTCCAGTAGTAGTTGCGACGGGTTACCGTATGTCAGTTGCACGAGCGGCAGCAGTGGCGAGAGGGTGGGCTCTTGTAACGCGTCGAAATGGAAGGTGTTGAAACCCGCCTACATTCTCTCTCTCTCTCTCTCTCTCTCTCTCTCTCTCTCTCTCTCTCTCTCTCTCTCTCTCTCTCTCTCTCTCTCTCTCTCTCTCTCCTCTCTCTCCGCTCGGTTAGGAGAGAGACCCAACCAAAAACTGAATAATGAAGAGGCCACAAGGCCTGCTGAGGCCTTTATACTAGGACTAGGGAGGCTAGGGAGGCTAGGGGAGGCTTGAGAGGCTAAGTCACTAGGTGATTCTCTCTCTCTCTCTCTTTCAAGAAGTCATGCATTAATGTTGGTGAAAGGGTACAGGCATGCAGGATATGACACTGGCCGATAGGCTAACCTAGGTAGGCAACATGTAGGGCAGATAAACCAGCATGTAAACATGACCAGCAATGAGATGCTAAGGAAGTTCACCAAGTGGCCACTGCCATGGCAGGCCTGGGGCTACCAATTGAGTTGCCTAGGTCCTCACAACCTCCTGTTCAACCCTACATCCCTGGTTCACCCCCGGCTGCGCTTACACTCCTGCAAGGTCATCATCAAGCACCTGCCAAAGGTCTCCTAGGCTCGGCTCCCAGGGGTCCGCAGGTGCTTGGGGGAAGGCTGCCTCGGCTGCCATGTTGCTCTTGTTAAGGAACGAGATCGCCTAGGATCGCTGCAGCATGACTGACCAGCGTTGGCGGTAGTGAGCATTGAGGAAGAGGCGGTGGTGGTGAGCGGCCCCTGCCTGAATTTCTTCCTCGCTGTGGCCACAGCTAGCAGCCTAAGAAACTGCACAGTATCGGTCGCCAGCGCCCCGTAGGTCTCGGCTGCTAGGCCGAAACACCCCACATTGTCAGGGCGGCCATCATACAGGCGGTGCTTCTTCTCGGAAGCTTCCTTGGCAGCCCACCCCGGTGGCTTCTGCACCCTGGGGTCCCGCTTTTGCAGCACTGGGTCGGTCACCGTTACATCCGTGACCCAGGTCTCCGCTGATTCCCTATCCTGGAACGCCAGGTCTGCCCTCTTGCGGTGGACTGGGGGGGAAAACACCGATGTCTCATGGAAGGTGTTGAAACCCGCCTCCCTCGCCAATCTCAAAGCCATGTAGACCAGGGCGTTATGCGTCCTCACCACGTCCCCCCCTTCCCCACACCGGAGCATGTGATTCGCCAGGCTAGTATCCTTGATTTCCGAGTTGTCACGTTTGCAGGGACATTTGACCGTGACTGGTAGGGCCATCCCGAGGCGGAAACCGAGTGCCAACGAGAACTGACCAGGGGCAAATGTAAGGTCAGATCTCGTCGGCACTGCGTGAAGCCAATCCCCGGCCCCCACTCCCTTCAAACTCACTAGCCGTACCCCGTGCCCCTGGTCTTCCCCCGGTCTGTCGACCATAGTGTCGGCTAGCAGCTCCCTGGCCCGTACCGAGTTGATGTGCTTGGACAAGAGGAGCTGCAGGTTACCCTGCCCCTGGGGGCCTTCCCGGTAGGTTTGTAGTGATGTCCGTGCCTCTGTCGGCAGCCCGTCCTCTAGTGCCACCAGATATTTTGACGCTGGGGGCGGGGGGACCCAATCTCTGGACAGCAGCGTCTCGGCCCATGCCAACAGCTCCTGCTCCCGCAAGTTCATCTGCTGCAGCAGGTGATGCGCTGTTGTCAGGGATGCAATATACGCAGCCGGTGCCTCAGAAACGGGATCAAAGATGCTCAACCCCCCAAGGCGCACGGGCAGGGTCGCTTGACGCCACAAGAGGCTCTGTTCCAGCTCACTCGCAGGGATCCGTAGCTTGGCGGCTATAAGCGCCGCCCCTACCAACGACTCGCTCCACCCTCTCCACTCCTCCCGGTCCAACGTGATGCTTGGTGTGGTGCGAAGCAGGTAGGAGATCCTGCGGGAGATGCTACAGGAGAGGAGTAGCAGGGCGTGTTGTGGGTGCAGCTGCGCTATAAGAGGGACAGGTGCTGATGCTTTGGCGAGCGCCTGACGGATCTCAGCAGTGCAGTACTTTGGCGTGCCGATGGGGCTGCCAAGCACCTTGATCCCCCCGGTGCTCATCCGTAATCCCTGTGGCAGTCCCAACTGCCCCTCGTTTCCCTCTCGCGGTCCCCATGCCGATGACTATGCCACGTTGCACCGTAGCCCGCGCTTTACCAGCTCTTCGACGATGGCATCGAAGGCCTTGAACACCTCCTCCCGCGGCCCTACCACTGTGATGTCGTCAACGTACGCTATGACTGCCGCCCCTGGATGAGAAGATGCCATGCACGTTAGGGTCGGTTGAATCGCTGTTGCAAAAAGGAGAGGGCCGAGGGGATCGCCCTGACGCACGCCGCGGGAGCTCAAGATGTGCTCAACTCCTAGGGCCGGGTCAACTAGAAGGCGCGATGGCGAGTCGTACAGCAGCCCTACGAACGGCAGCAGCTGGTGCAAGTCCGAGATTTCTAGCGCCGTGAAGAACGCCTCCCGCTCAACCGAATTAAACGTGTTTTCTGCGTCCAGCTGGAGCGCTACGTAGTTGTCATGTTCTCGGAGCAGGGCCCGTACCAAATGTATGACGCATTCGGCGCCACCAGGCACTGACACGCCATACTGGACCGGGAGGAAGAATTCACGGATCGCTGGGGCTAACTCGCGTAGCGCCGCCTTCGCCGCGACTCTAAGCAAGGCCTCGCCTATAGCGATGAGTCGAACGCCCCCCCTGGCTTCTCGAGTGCTATCAGCCGTGACGGGAGGAGCACGTCGCATATCTCCCTTGTCTGTGAACTGTTAAGTAGCTGGCCGATGACCTTTGTGAGGAGCAGTAGGACTCGCTCGCTGCTGTGGGCCGGGTCCTTCAAGTGCTCGAAACAAGTGCCAGAGGGGCCCGCTCCAACTCCATTCGGGCACTTCGCTAGCACTTCGCGGAGATCGCCTGGGGCCAGATTCAATGACGAGGCAGGTACACCGGTGCGGTTGGTTACCCAGCTCGGAATTGGTAATTCCCCGACAGGGTGTTTTGCCTGTAAAGCTGCAAGTGTAGCAGGTGTTGGTTCCGCCAGCGGGGTCACTTGTAACGCAGACACTGCCTTGGAAATGTTGGCCTTCTTTATCAAGCCTTCTGCTCGCGCGCACAGGCCTGCCTCGTCTGGCTGGTGTCGTGACGGGGCTTCAGTATCGAGGATCGCGCATGCCTCACTGTAGAGATCGGCAAGATCCCCGATTCTGAAGTGGTGCAGCCGAGTCTCAATCTTGATCTTGCGGTTCCCGTCCACTGGCTCTGGTAGAGGTCGATGGGTCAAGCGGGGTAAAAACTGCAGCACCGTCCACGCCCCCACACAGTCTGGTTTCTCAGCCAATCGCAGCAGCGAGGCCAGAAGGCACAAGGTGTAGCTCTCCAGAATCTTTGGGGGCAACCGCCTCACCAAGAACGGTTGATCCGCACGCTGGAGTGGTGCGATGTCCCAAGTGCTGGCCAGGTGCCAGAAAGACTCATCCTTTGCCAGGTCAGTTGGCGATTTCTCGGATGGCGGTGGTGGCACAGCTGGGTCCTGTCCTGCTGGCATGTTGGGTGGTTGTGGCATGCCACCCTGCTCCGTCCTCCTCACTCGCCCCTGCGCCGATACATGTTGGCTCTCATCGTCGCCCAGGGAGACCAAATCCTCCGATGCCTCTGAGTGCGAGGGGATAAACTCGCTCCCGTTCTGGGAGTTTTCAGAACCCTCCTCGCCCCCATTCACACACACAGGCATAGGTGTACGCTCCGGGCAGTCGTGGCGATCACGCCACGTGCCTGATCTCACGATTGCAGCCTCGCCACCCAGGAGTGGAACTCCCCTACAGCGTGTCCCTCCTCTTCCCCCTCTGCCTCCACGGGGGATTGCGGGGAGTACGCCAGCGCTGCCGCCTCTCGCGCTCTCCTGCGCAGACCTTAAACCCTGACCGGCCGGCACCCAGGGAGTTGCCATTGTCGCTCGTCCTGCCCCCGACGGCCTGCCCCACACAATTCCCCGGCCTCTCGTCGAGCTACGTGTTTCCCGGTGAGTTGCTTGCTGGGTCGTGGGCGATCCTTCCGTTGGTTGCTGCATCCTGCTTGGCTACTCAGTTCCCCGATGTGCACGGTCAGCTGCCTCCGTGTTACCCCTCCCGCCGGTACCCATTGCAGGCTGTGGTGCGGATGACAACAAACGCGCTTGCTCTGGTGGCGACTGCCCTTGCGGAAGCCAGCCCAGGAGGGGTCCCGGGACCCCAGGCCCCAGCCCTGCTTCGGGCCGCCTCGGCGTTGGCTGGGCGCGTAGCTTCACCTTCTTCCTTGCCGGTGCGGCGCCAGAAGCGACGCCGATCACGGGACCCTCAATTCCATCCGCTGCCTGGCCGCACTCCCGCATGTTTACGGCCGCGGCAGCAGTAGACATTCCAGCGGACTCAGCGACAGTTGGCGCAAACGGTTCGTTCGGGGGTTGTTCTGGTTGCCTCGCTGCCTCAGCTACGACCGCCGCAATCTCCACCTCCCCGACAGGTGATGGGGACACCGCCACCAATGGCGCTGGTGAGTCAGCCGACCCATGCTCCACATGCGCCTCCTCCGCAGCCACAACCTTGTCCGCTGGTGGCGCCGTCGGCCCCGCAGCGGGCGAGGTTGAGTCGTCGTCAGAGGCGGCTGCACGCACAGCAGCAGGCGAGTGCGCCTCCCGCCCCGTCCCCGTCGGATCCGCCTCTACCGCAGTACCCTGCTCCCCCCGCTGCGTCAAACCTGACCCCGCAGCAGCGACATCCCCCTCTGCCCCGGCCTCAACTGCGTCAGCCGCCGCCTCCTCCAACGCCGCCAAACCCTCCTGTCCCGTCTGCTCCTCTTGCTGCCGCTCCTGCAGGTGCGCTGCCTCCCCTCGTCGAGCAGCGCGTTGTGCACGTGGGCACGTGTTTGACGCTGCTGTCGTACGTACTGGACCAGCTCCACGTGTGTTTGGCATGACAAGGCTTGGAGGTTGACGGGATGTTGCCCGCTGAGCGCTCTGCGGCGGTGGCTGCAGCGACGGAGATGCTGCACTATCTTCCCTTGAATGGCCTCGTGCCGGGCGCCCCTGGTGCAGCGCTCGGGCCCGGACCCCGGGCAATGGTGAGGCTAGCTGAGTCTGCCCAGGAGGGCCCCCTCGGCCTTGTGTCAGCTGCCGCTTCCGTCCTACGTTGGATGGACGGGAGGCTGTGCTGGATCCTCGCCGAGTGACTGTTGTTTTTCCCTTGGAGGCTCCGGTGGTGCTGGCCCTCGCCTTGGGCTTCCCCATGGCGGGATTCCCTTGCCTGGGGGTGGTGTCGTTGTTCTGCCCTGCTAGTGGCTCTTGATGTACCACATGCTACTATAGGACTTGTGTTGCTGCTACCCTTGCCACCCCTCACGCGCGGCTGAAGGCCGCGCTGGCGAGCGGCGGCCGCCGAAGGCGGCCGGCGCGAGCCGCCGGATTTGGAGAGTGATCCTAACTCACCAGTGAATAATAAGCTCACTAGCCTAGATCCAGGGCCTTTATACTAAGGGAACAGGCCTAGAAATGGCTAAGGACTAGATCCTAGAGAAGAGGGGCCAAGAAATGGCTAAGGACTAAGCTATGCCATCTCTCTCTCTCTCTCTCTCTCTCTCTCTCTCTCTCTCTCTCTCTCTCTCTCTCTCTCTCTCTCTCTCTCTCTCTCTCTCTCTCTCTCAAGGGTCCTAGCCGAGGTGCCCAAGGGTCCGCCGCTGCCTATGGGAAAGCCGCTTCCGCTGCACGGTTTGACTTGGAAAGGATGGAGATCGCCTGGCTGCGCTGGAGCACCACGGACCACCGTTGCCTGAAGTGTGCATTGAGTCGGGCGGCGGTCGTCGTGAGGCGTCCCTTCCTGTATTTCGTCTTGGCGGCATGGGTGGCTAGCATACGGATGAACTGCTGCGTGTCCTTAGCCAGAGCCCCATACGTCTCTACCGCCAGCCCAAAAAACCCAGCGTAGCTAGGGCGGCCCTCGTAGAGCCTGTGCTTTCCCTCGGAAGCTGCCTCCGCTGCCCACCCAGGCGGCTTCCTGGCTCTCTTGTCCCGCCTCTGCAACACCGGATCCGTGACCGTGACATCCGTCACCCACGTTTCCCCTGACTCCTGGTCTCGGATGGCCAGGTCTGCACGCTTTCGGAGGACGGGGGGAGAGAAAGCCGTGGTCTCATGGAACGTTTTGTAACCCGCGTCCCTGGCCATCCTGAGAGCCGCGAAAACCAGGGCGTGGTGGGTCCTTACGACGTCCCCGCCATCCCCACACCGTAGGAGGTGATTGGGGAGGCTCTTATCGGCAATCGTCGCGTTTTCCCGCTTGCACGGACACACCTCGGCGACCGGCAGCTCCATGCCCAGCCGCAGGCCCAAGGCCATCGAGAATTGACCAGGGGATAAGCTAAGGTCTGCTCTCGTTGGGATGGCATGGAGCCAGTCACCCGCACCCACCCCCTTGAGGCTGATGAGGCGGATGGCGTGGCCCCTGTCCTCCCCCGGCCGGTCCTGAAGTGTGTCTGCTAGGAGTTCCGACGCCCGCCGCTGGTTGATAGACTTGGACAGCCCCAGCTGCAGGTTCCCAGTGCCCAGACCCCCTGCCCTGTACTGCTCTAGTGTTGCTCGGGCTTCAGCAGGGAGGTTACCCTCCATCGTGGCTCTGGGGTTGGTCTCAGGTGGTAGTGGGGCCCACTCGTGGGAGAGGAGCTGTGTCGCCCGGCTCAGGAGGCAGTCCGTTGGCAGGTTCAGCTGCCTCAGTAGGATGTGTGCCGCCGTGACTGAAGCCAGGTATGCCGCGGATGCCTCAGAGATAGGGTCGATCACCCCGAGGCCACCCAGGCGGATGGGGAGTGTCCCCTGACGCCACAGCAGGCTCTGCTCAAGCTCGGAGGTGGGGATCCGTAGTTTCGCCGCGGTGAGCGCCGAGCCCAGGAGAGCCTCACTCCACTCCCTCCATTCTCGCGCACTTAGTGTTGAAGCCGGGGTCGTCCGGAGCATGTACGAGATCCGCCGTGAGATGCTGCGTGAGACCATAAGGAGCGCGTGCTGCGGGTTCAGTTGTGAAATGAGGAGGAGCGGTGATGCCGCCTCCCCCAGCGCCGCCCGTACGTGGTCCGTGCAGAAGGCGTCAGTCCCAACTGGGCTGCCCAACACCTTGATTCCTCCCGGGTTCGAGGTCAGCCCAAGCGGCAACTTCTCCTGCTGCTCGCTCGCGTTCCTCCCCCAGGCCGTTGATTTGGCAATGTTGCATCGCAGTCCTGCTTTTCCCAAAGCCGCAGCGATCGTGTCGAAGGCGAGGCAGGCGGCTTCACGCGGGCCGACAATCGTAATGTCGTCGGCGTAGGCAACGATCGCCACATCCGGCAGAGTAGTGGCCACACTCAGCAGTGCTGGCTGGATCGCCGCCGCGAACAGGAGCGGGCCGAGTGGATCGCCTTGGCGAACTCCGCGGGAGCTCAAGATGTACTCAGTGTCAAAACGCTGGTCGACCAGGAGCCTCGACGGGCCGTCGTAGAGGTTTCGGACCAGGGGGAGTAGGGGGTTGAGGTTAGACCATTGCAGCGCCTCGAAGAAAGCCCTGCGTTCGACGCTGTTGAACGCGTTCTCTACGTCCAGCTGCAGCGCGATCCGCGAGACGTCCTCCTGTAGTAGCGCTCTAACCGAGTGTATGATGCACTCCGCTCCCCCCGGGATGGCCACGCCGAATTGGACCGGGAGAAAGAACTCACGGATCTTGGGGCCGAGCGAGTGTAGAGCTACTTTCGCTACTACTCTGAGCAATGTTTCGCCAATCGCGATAGGCCTGACCCCACCCCCCGGTTTCTCCAAAGCTATCAGGCGTGAGGATAGGGCAAGGTCGCGCAGCTCCTGTGACTGGTAAGTGCTAAGGAAATTGTTAACTGTCTTGGCGAGTAGAATTAATATCTCCTCATTTGCGAGAGCAGGATCTCTGAGGTGCTCGAAGCACGTTCCAGAGGGCCCCCCACCCACCCCATTCGGGCACTTCGCCAGGATTTCGCGAAGTGCGTCGATCTGGATGGCGAGCTCAGAAGTTGCTACCCATGTTACCCAGGCTGGGAGATCGTCTTCGGCATGTGGGTGTTTCGCCCGGAGTGCAGCGAGGGTTGCCGAACTGGGTTCCGCGAGTGGGCTGGTGTGTAACGCAGCAACCGCCTTCGAGATATTGCCCTTTTTCATTAGCCCTTCGGCACGTGCACAAACACCTTCGTCGTCCGGTTGGTGTCGTCTCTCTCTAATGGTCCTTTTATTGATATAGCAGTCAAGTACAGGCAGGCAAGTTATAGTGGCCTAGATAACAAGCATGCTGGTTGCAAACATCGCCGATCTACAACTCTACGAGGGGCTCAATCACTGCAAAGCAGTCCCCTAGATGCAACTCATCCCCAATTCCTCCCACCGGCGGGTTCTCAACCGCCGCCGCCTCCCCAAGCTTGAGCAGGAGGCCTACAGATTGGGCCCTTTGCAGGGCCACAGACCAGCGCTGCCTGAACTGGTGCAGGAACTTTGCAGCATAGAACGATTTAGAGTCGGCGTTGAAGTGCCGCCGAGCTGCAGTGTCCGCTAAGAGCTTCAAAAAGGCTGGTACCTCCGCACACGGGCAGCCATAGGTGTCCACAGCCAGGGGGAAGAAGGTCACCGTCTCTGGTAGGGAGGCGTAGTGCTGGATTTTCTTGTCCGCTTGCTCCCGGGCCGCCCAGCCCCTGCCCTTCTGTGCCTCCGGGTCCCTTGTGCTAATGGGGTCAGTGATGGTGACATCACATACATAGACGGCCCCACTGCTCCTGTCCGTCATTGTAAAATCTGCCGTCTGTTCCTCAACGGGGCAGTGCGCTGAGGACTCTCTGTGAACGATGAAACCCGCGTCCTGGGCCATGCTGACACAGGCATCGCGCAGCTCGTTGTGGGTGTTGATGCGATGCTTGCCTGTGCCGCAGCGGAGAAGGTGATTCGGGAGGCGGGGGTCCGTGATCTCCGTGTGGTCCGCACAGTCGCAATTCTTCGGCGTGGAGAAGGGGAGGGCCAGCCGGAAACGTACGGCACTGGAAAAGTGAGTGGGCCCTATCCTCCTGTTGGCCGCAATCGGGATAGCGGTCAGCCAATCCCCAGTCCCGTACCCCGTCATTGAGTACATCCGCTGCGTATGTCCGCACAAGGGGTTCACCGCCATCTCCCTCGTCGCCTGCACCTGCGCCGCATATCTACTCCCATGCACCCTTAGCGCCAATGCGTGCTGGAGCCTCACATCAGTTTGCTCCAGCCGTTCTTTCTCCAGGACTTCTCGCGCATCGTCGGGTAACGCTGCTTCACACTCCAACAGCCACGTGTGAAGGGGTGTGGTGGTGTCAGCGGGCAACTGCATGTGGTCCCGCGCCTGCGCCAGCGCGCCCTCAGGAGCGCCGTCTAGTGATGCGATGAAAAGCGCCGCCTGCGTGAAGCTCGCTGCGAACCCGAAAACACCCTCGACCAGCGGGTCAGTAATGCCTATCCCTCCCAAAGACGGCGGCAGAGACGCTTGCGCCCAGACACGTGCTTGCTCGGTACGGCAGGTGGGGACGCGAAGGTGGCATGCTGTGAGTAGGGCCGCTAGCAGGTCTGTCCCCCACTGGCTCCAGGTCTCTCGCGGCAAAAGGGAGAGCGGTGTTGTTCTGGTAAGGTATGCCACACGCCTCGAAATGCAGCGGGTGAGTAATAACGAGGCTACCTGCGGGTCGGCTTTCTCGAGCAGTGGCAGGGGTTTGGCCATCTCCTGCAGCTGACCCGACAGGAACTGTGACGCCCCACTGTCAGGCCCCACAAAGCTTCCGAGCAAGCGAACACCATCCTGGGAGAATGGTACGTCGTGCGGCAGCAGATCCTTTACTGCTGCTTGTGTGCTCCAAGCTGCGCATTTCTGCGCATTATGCCGTAATCCCAGGTGTGCCAGCTGCTCGGTGAAGTGGTTGAAGGCTGCTACAGTAGCCGTCGCCTCCCCCAGGAATGTGACGTCGTCGGCGTATGCCAGACACAGCACCTGGGGGTGTGCTGCAGCAGTGTCGCGGAGTGTAGTGTTCATACCTGCCGCAAACAGTAGTGGGCCAAGTGGGTCCCCTTGGCGCACGCCCCGTTCGCTGATCAGTGGGTCCGATCCAAAATTCGCGTCGACGAATAATTTCGACGGGTTACCGTATGTCAGTTTCACCAGCGGCAGTAGTGGCGACAATTCTGGTCCTTGTAACGCTGTCGCGATGGCTTGCCGTGAAATGCTGTTGAATGCATTTGAGATGTCGGTTTGCAGCACGAGGCTGTTGGGAAGCTTGTCCAGATACGCCCGTGCCACGTGGATGACTGCCTCGGCTCCTCCAGGCACGGCTACGCCATACTGTAGAGGTAGGAAAAAGGCCCGCGCGGCCTCTCCCATGGCTGCGAGGGCAGCTTTGGCAGTCAGCCGCGTGATGCATTCGCCAATGGCGATTGGTCGAGCCCCCCCACCAGGTTTGGCCAGGGCAATGAGCCGTGAAGCTGTCAGTAGGTCCGACACCGGTGCTGGAAGGTTGCCCCCCAAAATGGTGTTAACCAAGGCGTGCAGATGGGTGCTAACTCGTCTATTCGTGATTGCCGCGTCGCGCATGTGTTCGAATGTCGTTCCCGATGGCCCAGCACCGACCCCATTTTCACACCTTCCCAACAGTTTGGCGAAGTCAGCCTGGGTGATGAACAATTTTGACTCAGGCGAGGGTGGCCACGTCGTCTCCCCTGATTCGGCTGGCGGGTGTTTCTGTCGAAGCTCCTCCAGAATTTCCGGAGTTGGGGTGCAGACTGGCGTTGACTCCAACGCCAGCACAGCGCGTCGTAGGCTACCCCGTTTCGCCAGGCCCTCGGCCCTGCTGATGACCCCGGTTGCGTCGGGCTTGTGACGTGGAGGCGTGGGAGTGTTGACTGCTTCGATCGCATCCTGGTACAGTTGACCCCACTCGCCACGTTGGAAGGCTCGGAGCCGGGCCTTGATCTGGGGCCAGTTTGGTTTCCGTGGCGAGGTCTGGCGAAGCGTCAGACGTGGCAGAAATAGGAGTAGGCGCCAACCTGCCTCTCCTTCCGGGTTTCGTGACAGGTTGAGTAACGGGGTTAGCAGCGCCAGCGAAAACAACTGGCACAAATTGGGCGGTAACCGCCTTGCCAGGGATGGTTGTCGACTATCGCAGAGGGCTGGGATATCCCAGTTCTCGAACGCCAGCGAACAGATCTGCTCGCGTCGCCAACTCCTCTGGCGTAAAATAGCGCGGGGGATTGGGATTGTCTCGCACCGATGCCGCTGCCGTCGCGGCCCGATTTCTCCCGGTGCGGCCCGACCTTGCTTGTGATGGTGCGGTTGGAATTTCGCCCGTACGATTGCCATCGGACGGTCCAGCCGCGGTGGTCGTTCCCTCTCCTCGGGACCGCCTTGTTCTCGCTCCTGTCCTTCTCCCATTCTCCTCTACCCCTTCCTCTGCTTCCGACCCTTCCTCCGCACTGGATGGGGTTGGCTCTTCTCTATAAGAGGGGTCATTTTCTTCTTCGTCATTAAGTAGCCTAGTTAAAGCCCTTCTGGCCTCCCTCTGATAGCCATTCTCTGGCCCACCTCCTCGACCGCTACCTGCTGCCCGCCCATCGCCTCGCGCTTCCTGTCCTCGCGATGGTGATTGCTGGTGTGACTGATTATTCGCCAATGCGCGTTGGCGCCGCGTCGGTTGTACTCGAAAGGCCGTCGTCTGCCTCAGGAGCGAGGACCGAGGCGACGGGCTCCCCGCCACTGTCTGTTCTGCCTGCCCGGCCTAGTAGCCGCTGAAAAGACTCCTCCCCTCGTATCCGCACGTCCTCTTGTCGTGAACGGGGTTGAGCCGTCTGCGCCGATGGTTGCTCCTCCCGCTCCGCCTGTCGCCCCTTCTCCGCCTGTTCTCCCTGTTCCTTGCCGTGCCGCTGGCGGCATCTGCTCCTGCCGGGGGGGTCGCCGCTCATCCTGT